GCATTGAGAATTGTATCTATTTTCATAGAAATTTTAGTAACGTCATTATCCAAGTTTCTCTATATCTATCGAGAAGTACATATTTTAACGATTGCTGTATTATTCAATTCTCATCGGGTACTGATACTCGATTCGTATGTGAAGATACTTGGTCTGATTAAGTTAGGAATATATTGTTTTCATTTCAAAGTGGTTATAAAGTCTGTTCATTAAAATTAAAATAATTTCTATACGTTATTTACAATGGCTATATCGTGAACAGCATAATTTCATAAAATTCGATACACCTGAAGTATGAATATATTTTATAAATAAAATCGTTTCTACAGATACTTTCCATTTAATAATTACGAAATACATAATGATAAAATTTCGTGTACATTATATATAGAGTATACTTTATATTATACATATTAATATTATTATGTTACAGCTATTAGTATCTTTATCATAACTGTCACTATCATTGTTTACGTCTTAAAATCGTTTAAGTTTTTGATCTGTTTTAGATTCGTTAAGAAAAAGATATTCTCTAAACACGAGAGTGGTGATATGCGTGTGTGGCGCGAATGTATTTTTCGAAGACGATATATCAAATTATATTTGTAAATTGTAAAAATATATTAGGAACGACAAGTGACCGCTACGACAAAACCGTAACAGCGTCATTCATCTTTCATATGTTAGAAAGAATCGGAAACTATTGTATTAGTGATCACTGTCGGATTAACCAAGTTGTATAATAAATTATTGGAGAAACTTGAAACCTAACAATGCGGGCATTTGGACACTAACGCAGTAATAATAAAGGAAAGTATGTAATTTCAAAAAAAGTTTTTCTAAGAACGTGCCATGCAGTATTTCGTATCCAATGTGCATGTGTGCGCGCGCGCGTGTGTATGCGTGTGTGCATCTATGTGTATGTGTGTGTGTGCACGCGCGCGTGCGTGTGGTATGCGCGCGTTGTGTGCAAGTGCTTAATGTATTATATTACATGTATCAATTTGTATTCCACATCCTTTCTTTAGATTGTTATTAATTTGCGAATTTTATACACTTACGATATACGTAAATGTGTAAAATATAATGGAACAATAACTTTAACAAAAATTAATCATGCTTTTATTTTATTCTATTTTAAATTTCATGAATTTCTTAAAGTATAAAACAAGTCTGTAACTACCATTTTTATTTAAATAGTCTGCGTTTATAGGTCATTATTATTTTCTCAGTTATTTGTTTCATTCAATACTAAGAGAACAACAGCCCTGAGGAAAATTCAAAATGTTATACATACATACATAAATCATACATATA